GTGGACAGGAAGGAAGGGGAAGAGAGAGAGAGAGAGAGGAGAGAGCAGAGAGATAGAGAGAGATAGAGAGAGGAGAGGAGAGAGAGAGAGAGAGAGAGAGAGAGAGGAGAGAGAGAGAGAGAAGAGAGAGAGAGAGAGAGAGAGAGAGAGAGAGAGAGGAAGAGAGAGAGAGAGAGAGCGAGAGATAGACGAGTGAGGTTTATACTGATGGAGTAGGACTCTGGGGTGGTTGTGGTGGTGGGGTGGGGGTTAGTAATAACCACAACAACAAGAGCCAGCCCCCCCGCTGCAAACCAATATCCACCACACTACATCTCATCTAGGCAGCACTTGAGGGACGGAAGGAAGGAAGAGGGGGGGAAACCGACGGATGAAGGAAAAAGGCGTCTGGTTACAATGGTCTGATTGGGGACTTTCATAAAAACGTCACCTGGAACAGAGGAATAGGTGCGAGACGCCACAACACAAATGAAAAGGAGATAAATGTGTCTCTTTGCACTGGGGGGGGGGGGGGGGGGGGGGGACCAGAGGAAGTAGGAACCAAAAGAAAGTAAAGCTCATTTCTGTTCCATAAAACTATTAAGGGAAATTTATAGATTTGCCATTTCTGAGAGGGGTGGGTTGGAGGGGGGAGTACATGCTATGCATAGATGACTTCATTATCGGATGAAAATGCATTTGGAAATGTACAAAATGTCTCCAAAACAACGAGTGACCCCAAGGCCTTCTAACCAATGAGCCCTATAGCCTACTTCACTTTATATCTTAATGAAGTTAAATGATTGTAGGAGAAGTCCTGAGGCAATGCCGCCCCCTATTAGAATAATATCCGACGTTAGGGGAGCGCTTAAAATACCGGCACGCAACCTCTCTGGCTCCATCTGTCATCCTTTACTAAATAGGTCTAGACTTTTACTGTCTCCGGTCCCATTGGCGGCAGCGACTGATAGAGCTCCTCTTTAAAAATCCCAATATTTGTGATTCCACAACCTGCTCGAGAAAAATAGGCTCACTAGATGGTCCCATGTGGCTCAGTTGGTAAAGCATAAGAAAATGTATGAACATTTGATTGTAAGTCGCTTTGGATAAAAATGTCTGCTAAATCAGGGGTTCCCACATTTTTCACTCGGGGCCCCCCTTCCAGCATTGGGGAACATCCCGCTCACCCTGCGCGTGCGCACGCGCCACGTCTATTTCTATGGGTAAAGGCACTGTTCATGACACAAACTGTTCACACCCCTCCTGTTGGTGGAGAGAATTTTGCAGGTTTAAAGCAAATTTTCTTGCATTTCTATACATTTTGCCATGTCTAATGTGTATTCATGTGATATTTGAGTGACACAAAAATTACAACAATATCTATGGGCTAAAAAACCTAAATATTTTTTGCTGACATGGGCTAGTTGATCTGGACATTTCTGACAAGTTATAAATAGCTCTCTAAGGTATGAAATGACTAACATGACAAGAGGAACTGATGATTCACCAACCAATTACGAAATTGCACCTTGTGCATTCTACTATTACAACTTTCAAAAGTAAGTTTAAAGCCGGACTGATCTCCTTTAAAAAAGGCCCCCGGCGGGCCTCCCGAGTGGCGCAGTGGTCTAAGGCACTGCATCGCATTGCTAGAGGCGTCACTACAGACCCGGGTTCGATCCCGGGCTGTATCACAACCGGCCGTGATCGGGAGTCCCATAGGGCGGTGCACAATTGGCCCAGCGTCGTCCGGGTTAGGGGAGGGTTTGGCCGGGGGGGGGGGGGGGGGGCTTTACTTGGCTCGTCGCGCTCTAGCGACTCCTTGTGGCGGGCCGGGCGCTGTTTCCTCCGACACATTGGTGCGGCTGGCTTCCGGGTTAAGCGGGCGGGTGTTAAGAAGCGTGGTTTGGCGGGTCATGTTTCGGAGGACGCATGACTCGACCTTCGACTGCCGAGCCCGTTGGGGGTCTATTATTATAACAATAATAATAGACCCCCAGCGGCCCCCCTGCCGACCCTTTGCGGGCGCGCCCCAGAGTTTGGGAACCACTGTGCTAAATGGCATGTATTAATATGTTACTAGACACGAAACAAGCTGCGTTTTGTAACAGTGCAAGATTAACATTCTCTCTTACGCTGCACATGAAAGTATTAAAGCTAGACAAACAACAGTAACATCTTAGTGAACTTTGACCACAGTGTTATGGAACAGATAAAGTGTGTCCATCTAAAGTGGAAATGTACAAGGCTTGAAATAGTGACAGTGTGAAGTTTGTGTTTGTTAGTGAGCGTTTTTATTTGCTGTGTGCAGGTGTGTGCACAGTGTGTGAGATTAAATCATATGTGGTATGTTCCATAAGTGTGTGTGTGTGTGTGTGTGTGTTTGCCTGGTTTGCCCTCCAGCCTGGGTTGCAGAGACCCCGCTAATGAGCTCTTCCATTAAAACCAGGCAAACTCAAATAATGACTTGCTCGCTCCACATCTCACTGCTTTCTCTCCTCGTTTAATGACAACAGCTGCACACAGTGAGGAAGAGGAGAGAGAAAAACAAAGATGGAAAATCAAGTTTACAACCGTTAATGAGTCTGTAGTGTAGTGTCTGCAGCCATAGGACAGTACATTCAAGTTTACCACAGCTAGGCTAGACTGTTTCTGGCATTTGGATGTGCGCAGACATCCAGAGGAAAAACAACAGCAGCAGCAATAGAAAAACTGCATTCATTTGAAATGAATTAGAAGTTACTGAGATAAACCGAGCAGGTAGAGGAACGACTGAGGTTTTCTGGGGAAAGCTCATTAACAAATGCTAACATTTTCATGCATATTGCATAAGGAAGCAGTCATTTATGTTCACAACTGCCATCAGAAAAAAGAATGCAAGCTTATTGGGCACATCTTAGTGGGTGATATCAGATTCAGTGATGCACAGACAGGCACAACGTTGATGCCTGCTGTCATGCTCTCATTTCCGGTAAGGGCCACCACACATTAACATGGCAGTCTGTTGTCAATTCGGCTCGGTATTACCACATAATAAGAAGTGAAATGACAATACACTTTGTTTATACCCTACTCTAGGCCTAGAGCGTGTGCAAGAACACCCACCCACCCACAATAATAATGCTATAGCCTTCAGCATCTTCAGCACTCCCTATCAAAGCACATCAGCTCTAACCCAAACAAACAAGCATATGTACACACACATATATCCCTATTCAGAGAGTGAGTCATCTGCAATTCTCTTTGAAAGATGAAAGGAATGGAAATGAATCTTCTATTCATACAGTGTGATGAATGTCCACTCACAACACCCAATTTTTGGGCCCATAGGGAACTGTGCACTGTCATGTAGTTTCTCGCCTAAAGTGTATTTAGCGTTCCCTATCAGCACAAGACGTGAAAATACGTATTTTCAACGTCTTGTGCTTTCTGGGTTTACACTGACACTGCCCTGGAGGCTACAATGAGATAAGGGTAGCACAGTATCATTGCTCTGTGAACAAACATAGCCCACCTAAGAGACTGCAAGAGGACTACTAAAAGCAAGAAGACCATGGCTGTAATTAGTAGGTGTTGGTAGACAGGACAGATGGCTGTATCGCATTAGTGGATACTCACACTGCTCTCAGGGCAGGTCTGCCGGTTTTGACTAGAAGAAGTGGCTTTTCGTTACAGGTTAGGAGAATTAATGTGGCAAGTTAGGAGAATTAGGTTAAGGTTAGGAAAAGGGTTAGAAAATGCAAAAATTGCCCTCGACATGACTCGAAAATATCTAGCTACAACCAGGCCTACCCTGAGAACAATCTTTGTTTCCACTAATGCGATTCTGCGGACAGATGGGTCAGCTATTAGAGCCTCTTAGCTTTAGTAGACAGGAAACCTGCAACAAGCCACACAGCCCAAAGTGACAGATCCGGCTCGAAGGGCCATCTTTCCCTGTCGCGTCAAGAGGAAGAGAACAGGGCTTGGCAGAGAGGACGGAGAGGAACGAAAGATGGGAAAAGGAGTGGAGAGACGAATCCTAGAGAGAGAGAAAGAGAGCGAGAGAGAGAGCGTGCGTGTGCGAGAGCGAAAGAGACAGAGAGAGACATCAGCATGTGGCTTTCCTGGTGCCCAAGCTGTTCTTTCATTCACATTGCTCTGGCACTTTCTGGAGCAGCCTGTCAACTCGCTGACACAAAATGGAGGGCAAAGCGCAAAGCTGACTAATTCATCTCTATCAAATTCAGACAGAACTGTGAGGGAGGGCTCCCTGGCCAGTGGACTGTGATCAGTGCTGAGAGGGGTCAGGGGCGGCTGGGTTAAGTACGTCAGAGAGACTGTGTGGGAAGGAGAGGGGCTTCTAGTGGCCCTCTGGTTCTCAAAAACAGTTGGCCACACAGAGAGAGAAGAGCTAACAAATCTGCAGCACACTGAACTGGCAACCTCATAAATCTGACATCCAGCCAAGCAGAGACAAAGAGGGAGTGTGTGTCGCATCGCGTGTGTGTGTGTTTATGCGCGTGCGTGCGTCCCTTACAGGTAAAGCCCTGATCAAATCCCAAAGTGCAAGAATAATACAAAAAATATCAACAGCAAAAAAAGACATATTTTTCCCTCTGCGAGAGGAAGACATTCAAAGAAAAGGGAGATCACAGAGGAGAGGGGAGAAGAAACAGGCGAGGTGAGACAGCTTGCAGATGATACTGTGACTCGGGTCCCCTTGCCACACGATAACGCACTACACGCAGAAACACGCGCCGGTTATGTCTTGCTCAAGGCGTAAAACAGTTTGTGTGAGCACTGGGCTGTGGAACTGGTATTCAAAGCATGCAATTGCATGATTGTGTATGAAGAGACAGGTAGCATGTGTAGTAGAATACAACACATGGATTCAATCTTCACCAGTGGTCTGCACTGCAAATACTGCTAAAGCTAGCTTTAGTCAAGGTGACAGCTAACCTCAGGGCTAAGGGACGATGGCATCATGCTAAATTCTAATCTATTTGCAAATGCTCCCACTACACCTGTCCATATGCAACTTAAAATGGCAGTCCGTTATAGTGGTGTGTGTTTGTGGGGGACTCTGGGGTGACCATCTGGTTTAGTGTGCATTGACCCACCTGTGTTGCCATCTTGCCGTAGTCGATCCAGCGCAGGGTGGCAAAGTTGGTGGACTCGGCGCAGTTGAAGCCATGGTTGAAACCGGCGTGGTAGCCATAGGGAAATGTGATCATAAACTCGCCTTCTTCCTGAGTGATCTGGAGAGGGGAAGGGTTAAATGTTTAATGGTCCTCTGCGGTTTTATATCAATCAATCAACAGGATGCAGTCGTATAATCTAGTGTTACTTCCACATTAATCCAAATCTGAACATTCTGTTTCACGTTTGGATGATTGACCCAGAATACTGTAAATATTTGCATAAAAAGTTAAGTCAACACAAAAACACAACATTAACTGACTGAGCCTTAATGGTCAAGTATGCAAACTCATAAAACTTCATATCGATATCGCATAAGAAAACAGTGTTATTAACCCAGGTTTTGATGGGCGGAGATTAGGAACAATCTGCTAAAATGATTAAGGAAATTAAACTCCATTCGGATGGATGGACTTGGCAAAAACAGGGTCTTTGCAAGCCCTGCAACCCAGCCATGGGGAACATAAACACAGGGGCTCGTTCTTAATATGCACAATCATTAAGCACTGATGGGAAGGTGGATTTGCTTTTTCAACCCACCCTTCTCTTCCTCTCTTCCTCCCTCCCTCACTTGAGCTGCCTAGCGGCTACGGCTCCTAGAGAACCATTTGCGGCTGCACAAGAGCAATTAGACTGAAGCCAGCGAGCGTGGCGCAGGGAATTAGCCAGCCCGCGCAAATGAAAATGTGCATTTGGTTGCGCTTCGTTCTGAGGCGGGGCCATCATTTACTGAGAGCCGGAGAGGCTGAAGAAGACACAGCTCACCGGTCATCTCTTCGAAATGAAGCCTGACAAATGATTTGGAGGTTTTTATTTCGACACTACTGGTTTTCTATGTTTACTGCTATTAATTCAGGGTCATTGGCAATCCCTGCCAGAGATATATTACTTTTTGCACTCAAAATGAGTTTTCTACAGCTGAACTTCAAATATGCTAGAAGTTTTGGACCCTTGCTCGTAAGCGCCTCTTCATTCATTCATCTCATCTCTCCTCTCTAAGAGGAACGCGTATTATTTTAGCTTTAACCATTGACTAGTTAGGACTAGCACTCATGATAGAGGAGAGAGGCACATGAAGTCAGACTAAAGGAAGTGTAGAGATGGGAGACAGGCAGGCTGCGCGATGGAAGAGAGAGAGTGGGAGGTAAAACAGAGTAGTCCCAATATCAAAGGCTGTTTTTGCTCCTCTTGTAGCTGCAGCAAAGCACAAAGCCGGAGTTATTTTTACACTCAAATCAAGGGAGACGCTCTCGGTGTGTGTCAGGTAACACGGTCCCTGTGATAACGACACCCCGAAGGAAAACGGCAAAAAGGAAAGAGAAAAAAAGGAAGAAAAAAAATACAACTTGGGGAAAAAGCTGAACTCTGCAGACAGTGGAGAACTGTGTTACACATTTTCTATTTTTTTATTTATTTAATTTTTTCGCACCATGAGAGTTTCTATCTCCTACATTTATTATCCATAGAAAACATTTACATAGTGATTCATTTATTGCGGAATGTGAAAAGATGGACATTTAAATGTAACCAAGACTCATGGCTCAATCCCCATCATAATTTAGTGTGAAGTGAAGCTATGGTCTTTGTATAAAGACGTCATCAATCTCATTTTCAACCTATCAATACTGTGTGTGTGCGTGTGTGTGAGTGTGTGTACTGCATAGGCCTATTTGTGTGAGTAACAGAGTTAAAAACATACCGTAAGCTCATTCCACAGCTATCTTGAAATGTCGCAGATTGAGCCATCCAATTGGTACCTTTTGGGTGGCTCAACCCGTTGGAATGTTGTTAAGGAGGGCGGTAACGTGTATTACAAAGCAAAGGATCACTGGTTCGAGCCCAGTGTGGGGCAGTCGGACAGTGGAAGAAGCTAAGCTGTTAGCAGCACACTGACCCCCGTTACATGAGCACGTGTGTGCAAGCCTACATGTTAGCGTCTTCACTTCTACGTCCTCCGTCCATTCATTCACTGCTCTTCTGCAATTTCCCTGTCATTCGTCCCATAGGTTGACTGGAGACCACCCACACACCGACACCAACTTCAGCATGCCTCCTGACCCAGCCATCCTCATCTAATGTGCCGTTAACCTCCACTTTACTCAGCGATGGCAGGCTTTCATACACCCCATACATTTTTATCTGCGGTCAGTGCTAGAGTCAGCTAGTCATAGGGGTGTGTCCCAAATGGCACCCTATTTCCAAAATAGTGCACTACTTTTGACCTGAGCCCTATGGGCCCTGGTCAAAAGTAAGGCACTAAATAGGCAGCCATTTGGGACACAGACATATGCTGAACAAGGCTACCATGTCCTCTTTCAGGTTGAAGAATTGCAATTGTGGTTCAGCAGCGGGTTCCATTCAGAGGGGTTATTACTAAAACTGCCTTCAGTGGTTGAGTGTCTCCTTTCTGAGAGCTGTTAACAGGTTAAAGTGGTTATGTGATGAAATGAGTTATATTGCATTACCGGAATATACGTCAAATATAGATGGTCAAATTGAGAGGTGTTATTGGTTAAATGTCATACATGATTGTATGACATCAATCAAATGGATGTGGTCACATGATGTAACAATTAACCCTGACGGAACATTCTGTTGCTTTCAAACTTTAGAGCCCAGGGGCTGTATGTATCAAGAGTCGCAGAGTAGAGTGTTGATCTAGGATCAGGTCCCCCCATGTCCATTCATTATAATCTTAAAGGCAACTGATCCTAAATCAACACTCCTGTTCTGACATACTTTATGAATTCGGGCACAGGCCTTTTCCAGCCCCCAGTTTCAACCCCTAACCCCTCAACTGTGTCATGCTACCTACCCTGTCGAAGGGGATGCTGTACTTCTTCAGTATGGATGGGGAGATGAGGGTCATCTTGTGGCGGAGGAAGGCGTCACAGCCCTGGGAACTGCCTGGGAAGAAACCTGCCGGTAAAAAAATAAAACGTTACATTACTAAATTGCGGGAAACCTGTTACCGAGATTTACCGGGATCTACCGCCCAAAACAACTCCCTTTTCCCAGGATAAACAACTGCAAGAAACAGGTAAATTATAATAAATTATGTATATGAACAGCATGGCGTGAAATGGAACTGTTCAATTATACGCAATGTCTAAATCTGGCTTCTCTACGGCCTCTGCATGATGAATCATCAATGCTCAGGGTGGGGACAGACAGCACATCTCAGTATGGAGCACAGTTCACAATGCATGTAGACCTATCATCTCATCATGGTAAATGTTTTTCTTGTGACAGGTAGGCCTGCATTGGCTGCAGCATAGTCTATGCTTCAGTAATATAAAGACCGAATGCGCATCTAATTTACCCATCTCCATGTCTTATGCAGTAAAGATTTTTTTTAAATGAATTGCAGCTGCAGAGTTTATAAAACAGCCTATCACTCGAATATTGTTGCTTTAAATCAGTGCAAGCGTGAGCACTCTCTCGCAGACTAACTCCATTCCAATTGCATCCAAAATAGATAATCCTGTTTTAGATTGATAAAGTGCATTCGGAAAGTATTTACACCCCTTCCCTTCATCCACATTTTGTTACATTACAGCCTTATTTTAAAATGGATTTTTTTTTTTATCCCTCATCAATCTACACATTTTGTTACATTACAGCCTTATTTTAAAAAGGATTGAAAATGACAAAGCGAAAACAGTAAAAACAAAAAAAATGAAATACCTTATTTACATACACTACCAGTCAAAAGTTTGGACACACCTACTCATTCAAGGGTTTTTCTTAATTTTTACTATTTTCTATATTGTACAATAGTAGTGAAGACATCAAAACTATGAAATAACACACATGGAATCATGTGTAAAACAAATCAAAATATATTTATATAACCAGCTTCATGAGGTAGTCACCTGGAATGCATTTCAATTAACAGGTGTGCCTTCTTAAAAAGATAATTTGTGGAATTTCTTTCCTTCTTAATGCGTTTGAGTATTAGTTGTGTTGTGACAACGTAGGGGTGGTATACAGAGGATAGCCCTATTTGGTAAAACACCAAGTCCATATTATGGAAAGAACAGCTCAAATAAGCAAAAAGAAATTACAGTCCATCATTACTTTAAGACATGAAGGTCAGTCAATATGGAACATTTCAAGAACATTGAAAGTTTCTTCAAGTGCAGTTGCAAAAACCATCAAGCACTATGATGAAACTGGCTCTCATGAGGACCGCCACAGGAAAGGAAGACCCAGAGTTTACTCTGCTGCAGAGGATACGTTTATTAGAGTTACCAGCCTCAGAAATTGCAGCCCAAATAAATGCTTCACAGAGTTGAAGTAACAGACACATCTCAACATCAACTGTTCAGAGGAGACTGTGTGAACCAGGCCTTCATTGTCGAACTGCTGCAAAGAAACCACTACTAACGGACACCAATAAGAAGAAGAGACTTGCTTGGGCCAAGAAACACAAGCAATGGACATTAGACTGGTGGAAATGTGTCCTTTGGTCTGGAGTCCAAATTGGAGATATTTGGTTCCAACAGCCGTGTCTTTGTGAGATGCAGTGTGGGTGAACGGATGATCTCCGCATGTGTAGTTCCCACCGTGAAGCATGGAGGAGGAGGTGCTATGGTGCTTTGCTGGTGACCAGCATGGCTACCCCAGCAACCTGCAGTGATACACCATCCCATCTGGTTTGGGCTTAGTGGGACTATAATTCGTTTTTCAACAGGACAATAACCCAACACACCTCTAGGCTGTGTAAGGGCTATTTGACCAAGAAGGAGAGTGATGGAGTGCTGCATCAGATGACCTGGCCTCCACAATCACCCGACCTCAACCCAATTGAGATGGTTTGGGATGAGTTGGAACGCAGAGTGAAGGAAAAGCAGCCAACACAAGTGCTCAGCATATGTGGGAAATCCTTCAAGACTGTTGGAAAAGCATTCCAGGTGAAGCTGGTTGAGAGAATGCCAAGAGTGTGCAAAGCTGTCATCAAGGTAAAGGGTGGCTACTTTGAAGAATCTCAAATCTCAAATATATTTTGATTTGTTTAACACTTTTTTGGTTACTACATGATTCTATATGTTTTATTTCATAGTTTTGATGTCTTCACTATTATTCTAAAAAAAAAAAAAAAAAACCTTGAATGAGTAGGTGTCTCCAAACTTTTGACTGGTACTGTAAGTATTGAGACCCTTTGCTATGCGACTTGAAATTGAGCTCAGGTGCATCCTGTTTCCATTGATCATCCTTGAGATGTTTCTACAACTTGATTGGAGTCCACCTGTGGTAAATGTAATTGATTGGACATGATTTGGAAAGGCATTCACTTTTCTGCAGCATTGAAGGTCCCCAAGAACACAGTGGCCTCCATCATTCTTAAATGGAAGAAGTTTGGAATCACCAAGACTCTTCCTAGAACTGGCCGCCCGGCCAAACTGAGCAATCGGGGGAGAAGGGCCTTGGTCAGGGAGGTGACGAAGAACCCAATGGTCACTCTGACAGAGCTCCAGAGTTCCTCTGTGGAGATGGGAGAACCTTCCAGAAGGACAACCATCTCTGCAGCACTCCACCAAACAGGTCTTTACGGTAGAGTGGCCAGACGGATGCCACCACGCAGTAAAAAGCAAATGACATCCCACTTGGAGTTTGCCAAAAGGAACCTAAAGGACTCTCAGACCATGAGAAACAAGATTCTCTGGTCTGATGAAACCAAGATTCAACTCTTTGGCCTGAATGGCAAACGTCACGTCTGGAGGAAACCTGGCACCATCCCTACGGTGAAGCATGGTGGTGGCAGCATCATGCTGTGGGGATGTTTTTCAGCGGCAGGGACTGGGAGACTAGTCAGGATCGAGGGAAAGATGAACGGAGCAAAGTACAGAGAGATCCTTGATGAAAACCTGCTCCAGAGCGCTCAGGACCTCAGACAGGGGCGAAGGTTCACCTTCCAACAGGACAACGACCCTAAGCACACAGCCAAGACAATGCAGGAGAGGCTTCTTGATAAGTCTCTGAATGTCCTTGAGTGGCCCAGCCAGAGCCCGGACTTGAACCTGATCGAACATCTCTGGAGAGACCTGTTTATAGCTGTGCAGCAATGCTCCCCATCCAACCTGACAGAGCTTGAGAGGATCTGCAGAGAAGAATGGGATAAACTCCCCAAATACAGGTGTGGAAAGATTGTAGCATCATACCCAAGAAGACTAGAGGCTGTTTTTTTCTTCTGTTTTTTTTCTTCTTTTTAATAAATTTGCAAAAATGTCTAAAAGCCTGTTTTCGCATTGTCATTATGGGGTATTGTGTGTAGATTGATGAGGGAAAAAAACAATTTAATACATTTTAGAATAAGGCTGTAACGTAACAAAACGTGGAAAAAGTCAAGAGGTCTGAATACTTTCCGAATGCAGTGTATGTATTGGATAACGGCACAATCATTTGGCCTTTTTTGTGCTTGGGCTCATTAAATATCTTTAAATGTAGGGCTCATAAAATGTATTTAATGTATGGCTCAGGTAGCATCAGGCTTGTATTTGCGATCAAAGCTCTAATCAAATCCAGACATAGGCATATTTATATGCTTTATATTGCTTTTATTTTATTTATTAATTTAGTCATTTAGCAGACTTGAATGACACTTCCGGTTTTGGTGGGAAATACTGGGTTACCCAGGAGAAAAGTGATATATTCTCGGGATGGAACATTTGTAAAATACCGGGAAAATATTCAACCCTAATCCCATTGTCTGAATTTACCAGTTGTGGCATCCACAGTGAAATGTGTTATTCTATGTGAAATCGTGAAATGTGAACTGTTATGTGAAATTGGAACAACATAAAAAATCAAGGTAGTGCAAGAGTGTAGTCTTCCAACATGGATTCATATAACATATGATGGACCTTATATTCTGTTTCACATAAACTTCCTGCTTATGATGACCAGATGACCCCACTCTAGTGAATAAGCCACAGACGGTTTGTCTTGTTACAGACAGACAGTGCAGTACTTAGGCCTACATTCTCCACCCAAATGGAAGATTTACAGTGGCTTCAGAAAGTATTCATACCCCTGGACTTATTCCACATTTTGTTGTGTTACAGCATGAATTCTAAATGGATTAAATCGTTTATTTCCTCCTCACCCATCTACACACAATACCCCATAACGACAAAGTGAAAACATGTTTTTAGACATGTTGGCAAATGTATTGAAAATGAAATACAGAAATATCTCATTTATATAAGTATTCACACCCCTGAGTGAATACTTTGTAGAAGCACCTTTGGCGGCGATTACAGCTTTGAGTCATCTTGGGTATGGCTGTATCATCAGGATTTTCTCCCATTCACCCTTGCAAATTTTCTCAAGCTCTGTTAAATGAAATGGGGAGCGGCGGTGAACAGCACTATTCCAAGTGTTTCCACAAATGTTCAATGGGATTCAAGTCTGGGCTTTGGCTGGGCCACTCAAGGTCTTTCACATTCTTGTTCTGAAGCCATTCCAACATTGCTTTGGCTTTATGCTTGGGCTCACTGTCCTGTTGGAACATAAATCTTCGCCCCCCCCAGTCTAAGGTCGTTTGCACTCTGAAGCAGGTTCTCATCAAGAATTTGCCTGTATTTGGCTCCATTCATTGTTCCCTCTATCCTTACCAGTCTCCCAGTCCCTGTCGCTGAAAAGCATCCCCATAGCATGATGCTGCCATGCTTCACGGTAGGGATGGTGTTAGACAGGTGATGAGCTGTGCCTGGCTTTCTCCAGATATAGCGCTTTGCATTCAGGCCAAATTTCAATTTGTCTCATCAGACCACCCTTTGCCTTATGCTCTCAGTGTCTTTCACGTGCCTTTTTGCAAACTTCAGGCGTGTTGTCATGTGACTTTTTCTCAAGAGTGGGTTCCGT